GACAGAGTTTGTTTCCTTGAGACGGCCATCTCTCGCTCTCTCTCTCTCTCTCACACACACACACACACACACACACACACACACACACACAGACCCAGCTTTATCGTCCCTTTTATTCAGTCACATTCACACAAACTGTTGCATACTTAAAGCCGCTCATGCAGTGGACCTGATCTTTACCTCCTTTTGTGTCCTGTGTCATTGGGCGCTCCTTGCCCCGCCCACATGATAGTGCCTTTCCCAGGACCCTAACTTCCTGCATTCACCCTGTTCCCATGACAACTAAGCTTTAAATGGGTAGAGTCGCTGCTATCAGCCAGACTCGTCAAAAAGAGCTTTCCAAAGAGTGACACTGGGAAACAGCTCCTCGCTATCTACATGCGTCTTACTTCTCTTCAAGTCTTTTAGGTGTCACCGCCGTTTCCCCTCGAAGTGGGGAGCACACGCCTACCGTTCGACTGTACATACACACACAGGCATACTTGGGAGATTTTTGTGAACACACCCACTGTGATATAGCAGCTTTGACTGACAGTGAGACAGGCCTCCGAAAGGCGTAGAGGAAATGTTCTTCGGTAAACCGATGAGGTGTGGAGACGCAGGAGTGATATTCTACAGCCCCAGAGTGCCAGTGCACTGATACGCGTTCAAAGAGATTTTCTCTCCTTTGTTTTCCTTTCTCTTTTGAGGAATCCATGTGTTTTTGATGGCCTCTATGGTGCTCATTTCCTCTCTACTGCAGGCACTGTACAATCTTTCATTTCATATCTTCATAAACGCACAGGGAGACTGCTGTGGTGTGAAGTGAGAAAACATCAGTGCGTGAAGGTGAATGTATGTGTTTCCACATCTTATTGTGTTTTCCACTGTGCTGTGCATGCCTGTTTGTACATATGTCTGTCATTACACTTTTCCCTCCAGATTTTGTCCATATGTGACCAAAGCTGGTGAATTATTGTTTAATGTATTTTTCTGCTGTACACTGACAGACAAAGTGCCCTCTTTAAATTTGTGCCTTTGTGTGTTTTTCACTGCAGGAGAAGCCGTATAAATGCAGCGAGTGCAACAAGGCCTTCAGTCAGAAACGAGGACTGGACGAGCACATGAGGACTCACACAGGAGAGAAGCCTTTTCAATGTGATGTGAGTGCGCAGCTCTGTGGAACACTGCAACCACCTAAAATATATAAATTGACTCAGTAAATTAATTATAGCTATAAATGTGCCTAAAGAATTAAAAGAAAAATAAATTCAACTAATTATTCATCATTTATTTCAACTTTGTGTCTATTGGTTGCCTGATGCGAGCATCACAACAGAAATGGAAAGGAAATTTACTCAAAAAGAAAATAAATGGGGGAGTTATTACAACATTTATTTTCCCAAAAAACAAGTTAAAGCAGAAATATCAATTTATGTCATATCTAATTCTTAATTTAATTACATTTTAAACTATTTATTGGTCTTTTTAAAAAAATTTGGCGGTTTTGGTCCTCCGTACCATCAACCACTGTCTGTTCTTTCTTGTTTTGCTGGCATAGGGCCAGATGTGTGGAAGAGTTGGGGCTCAGTTAGAGGCAGATAGCGATCTTTCTTCTTTAGAGGGGCCCAGTGGGCTGATTCACATAAACACATTTAGAGGATCAGAGGGAGAAATTACTCTCTGCTTATAATGCTGCAGGAGTAATAATTATTCTCAGAGATTGAGGAGAGAACACGCGACAGAATTTGTTTTTAGTGTTTGGAAAAATTTTCTCCCTGCTTTTGTTTTTGTCCAATTTTGTGTTTTCTGTTTTTCATTTATAAAGCCACAACTGTCCTGGAAGTTGAACTCGCCGAACTATGGTGCTGGCTAAACAATACAGGGGTCTGGGTTGCAGGACACCTTTAAACATTATTAACATTGCGATTGCTTTTTTATTCCCAAGCAACGGTTTACAGACTTTGAAAAGAAAGTTATTTTGTTGGAGCTTTTTCTGTTGATTTGACCTGGTCACAGAGACACTCATTCATGTAAGCCGCTTCTGCTAGTCATAACAGTCCAATCTGTACACACAGATGCTACACATATTTTTTTGGTTTAGTGTGACTAACACTTTCCAAGAACATCATTATCTCTCATGTCTATCGTGAATAAATATACATAAGTCTCTTTGAAATCACAGAAAAAGAGATGTTATTTAAAACTTGCCTAATAATTGTGAGGTTTTCAAGGGATTTCAGTATGAAAAGCAGTTACTGTTTCTTGTTTATTCGTCAGTACACAACAAACAGGAGCTGAAAATGCCTTTTTTCAAAATTAGGAATGTAACTCTGAAAGCGAAATCATGACACAAATCTTCACCGACTCATCAAGCAGGTCCATTTTCCCATGTGACAACTCCCTTAACTCCCTATTCTCTTTGCTTTCATTACCTTCACATTACCTTCACAATGGAGCCATCAATATGACATTGATGTATTAAAAAGTGCTTGGTACATAAATATAAACATACACAAAACAGTAAGAGGATTAGGTGACAGAGACATATCAGTAGGATCATGTGACAGCCACGGCAGAGAAACAAAGGGGTTGCGTCACTGCTTCAGCAAGCGTCAGCAAATCATTCATCCATCCATCCACAGTTGTGGTCTGAAGTTTCCATACACTCATCACGAGCCTGAATGTCATGTTAATTTGGGGCTTTTAATGACTTCTTTGAACTGTGCTTTCTCCAGGGTGGAATGATTATACAGAATATATTTTTAATTACTAAAAAACTAATTTGAATTTATTGGGGATTTTAATTAATCCACACAGGGTCAAAAGTATAGATACACACTGCAATATATACATACATCCCCCCTAATATTTGGTTAAATGCCCTTTAGCAAGACAGTTTTGTTAGCCATTAACAAACTTCTGGCAGAATTTTGGTTGGATATTTGACCACTAAGTCATTTAAGCTGGCTGTATCCTGGGTGAATTTGGTGGTGGTCAGCGGCAGAGGCCTGTCTGACCCCCACCTGCCAAAATGGCTAAAGGGATATGAAATAACAGTAAGAATTAGTAACCTGCATTATATAATAAAGATAAACCATGGCATGTTTTCATGTTGCTTACACTAGTTTGCCATGTGGAGTTGATAATGCATATTTAAATCATTCTAGTCTTGTGAAATATGAATGTTTATTTCTTATGCAAATTTATTTTAGCCTAAAGTTCAACAAAAACATGGCCTGTTACAGTAGACCCTAAAAATGCTACCATTGGGCTCAAGTTGAAGCAAATATTGAGCAAACCTATGCTATGTATAAAGAAAATAAAACAACAGAAATACAGGAAAAAGCTCAACACTAAGAAATAAGGTGAGTGATCTAACTAAAAAGAGACACCGACTAAAACTGCTACAAAACCAAAACTATGATAATAATACGACTCGCATGGATTTTCCCTGTGCTGAAAGTCTTCAAGGCAAAAGCTCAGAAGATTTCAAACTGATGCAACTTCTGTTATCCCGTTTTTGTTGACTTTTGATGTGGACGCTGAAGTCACGCAGAGTACTTTAAGCTCGTAACTGTAGATTCCAAGCATGTCTTATTCAAACAAAGCTTAAAGCACCAGTCTGGATTCCTAAATTATCATTTGAGCTTTAACACGCCACTAATCCTCTATCCACAACATCGTTGAATTCTAAAACAGCATATGCGCCCATATTCACTGAGAATCATCTACAGTTGTCGTTTGAGGACACACAATCAGTATCCCATTCATCTCCGGTGAAGCATCACTGGAACGTGTCTCTCGGCAACATCAAGCGTTCATCTGGATCCTTTTTCCCAGCTTTGGAAGAAATAATTCAACATATAAACTATTAGAAATAATAGAAATAACATGTGGATTTTATTTTGGGGTGGATTTTGAGTCAGACAAAGAGATCACACAGTCCCAGGAACATTTTCCAGACGAGCTGGAGGGGTTCTGAATGCAGCGTCTGTCAAACCAGCATTAAAATGTTGTCGAAGCATCAAGCAACATCTGGGATACCATGAGAAGTGGAGGCCCCTCTCTCTCGCGCGCTCTCATCAGCTGCTGTCCTTCTTTCACTTTGCAAAATTGAAAATATTTTTCCTGACACAGCAGCAGATTTATAGATTGCCGGAGCAACATAAACGACAACATGATAGCGCATCAATGAAAATGTGGAAGTCCACCTGATAAACTATTGGAATGATATCATGTGATGGTTCTGCTGTTTTCATTCATAGCTTCTATATTTGCCGTTCACCCACAGATGTAAGCTGTCTGTGAGATTTTCTGAATGTAATTCATAGCGCTGACGTTCTTCGCAGATGGAGCGAGGAGGACACATGCTGCGATTCTCCAAGCTGTATGTTAAACTGCAGCTGAACGCCAGCCATTGGCGGATTATCCTGATTGATAGAGGGCCCTGAAGTCATTTGTACAGTGTAAAATGCCTCATTTAAGATGGATGTTAAGTTGCGTGCATCCCCCCTCCCCCTGCTACCAGTGTGGAGAAAAGAGACGTTTCTGTTGCCAAGTGCGTGTCCCATTTTTGTTGCACCGAGGCTCTACAGTGAGCAGATATTGCCAGATTTAAATAAAGTGTGTTTAAATAGTGTAATTATGACTCCTATAATCCTCTATTTGTTGTTTTCTGTAGGTCTGCGACCTTTCATTCAGCTTGAAGAAGATGCTCAGCAGGCACAAGCTGACGCACAACCCCAACCGACCGATGGCAGAGTGCCAGCTGTGCCACAAGAAGTTCACCAGGAACGACTACCTCAAAGTCCATATGGAGAATGTCCACGGGGAAACGGAGAGTTAGAGCCAATTAAGGAAGCACTGGCTAAAAACGAGATCTTATTCTTCAGATAAACTTAAGTCTTGTGCTCTAAGATGATATGCAGATAGAAAGATAGCAGAAATGTTGCTAATAATGATACATGCATGTAGGACATGGAAAAGATTAAGGCGAGTATTTCAAAATTGAAACATTGACTGTGTATTTGTACTTTCTTTCGGTCATACTGTTTCCATATTGTTTTTGGAGATCTGAACAAACAGAATCCCAGATATGTTTGATCTGCCTCCGGAGCCTCTGTGTCTGCTCCGGTCTTTCTGAACTCTAACCAGTGTTACTGTACATACTGCCACAACATGACCCATTCCACTGTTCTCTGAATACCTTACTGTACAGTTGTGGCCAGTTGCCAAATGATGAAGACAAGTTGTGACCAAAAACTTTTCTGTGCACTTTAGTTTTATCCGTACACTTTCTACATATTTTCCTGTTGGGAGGCTAAACCCTTTTGTTCAGGAGGCAAAACAAAGCATGGGTCTCAAGGGCAGAAAAATAAAGCCAGCGAAGTGACAAAAACTGCAGGCCTCGGCTAAAATTGTTTAGCTAAATGGAGCCACTAAACTAGATTCTGACCATATTTGTGGTGTTGGTGCTGTTTTGAGTATTTGAATGCATTTATCTGACAAATTTCACAGCCTGGTCTGTGGCAGAGAAGTGTATTTCACGTTTGGTGAGTAAAATCTAGTAGTTTATTAATTTATCGATATCCATAATCTATTGATTTGAATGTCAACTTAACACTCTAGTCTTTCACCCAAATATTGTCGTTTTTGGCTCCAAAAAATAACAAACTCTAGTAGCCATAATGGTGAATTACAGGCCTTAAAACAGGACAATGATTGGTGTCAAGATGTCCATGTCAGTTGTTTTTTTATGCAGACTTTCTATTGAGCTTTATGGTTCCTATAGCAACACAGAGCACAGGCCAGAAGTCTTATTTAAATTAATAAACACAAAAAATTCATTCATTCACTTCATGTTTTACTGATTTAAATGGAAGATTATATGTAAAGATGAAAATACAAGGCACAGGTCCAAACATGTTCAGATGTACTGTACTTTTTAGAAGCATGCTATAGCATTATGAGTTCTGAAAATGCCTAGAAAATCTGAAATAGGCCCTAAATAGTTTTTACACAATAGCTGTAAACATATTGCTATTGCATCTTTCTTGAAATCTGTTTTTGAATGGATGTGTTGGGTGTGACCTTCATCTTTACCTTGAGGAATGGGTTGAGCAGTTCCTTCGTTTCCCACACCTTGTTGTATGAAAACCAGCGGTGCTCAAAGCCTGTTAGCATACCTGTGTCACAGATTCTGGACAAATGTTTCCCAAATCTGGGGAAAATAAAAAATGCAAAGTACTGTTTCTGTTGATTCTGGTAATGATTTGTAGAGTATGGTTTCATATAAATGTCCCAAGGGTTTTGTGCCTTAAAATATGTGTTTACATTGTTCTTTTTTAAATCATTGTTCAAACCAGAACTTCATGCATTTCAATAAAAGTGCACTTCTTTTCTGTTTTTTCCATCTACTTCCATTTGCTCCTTCAATTACTCCCCATTTGATTAATGCCCATTTTCCAGCAGTTTATTCTGAGACTGTGAATTGTCACTTCACACCTTTGTATTTTAAAATGTATAAAACCTCATCACCTATGAAACATCCATTTCCTCTACTCTTTGTAATTATGTGTTTGTAGATTGTTGACATTAAGGTGGGGGTGGGTACAAGGAAAAAGAGGCTTTGAGAGTTGATTAAAAGTGTTCAGCTCTCGTTGTTAATCTATCCCCTATTCTTAGGTTGGCAGTCTGCTGGGAGTGAAGGCTAATTAAGGCTTTTTTTCCCTTTCTGAAGCCACAGTCACCACTTGCCTGATCTGTAAAACCACACACTAAAGAGTGCCTCTGATGGTTTCTCTCTGTGGATGTAGGGACTCTTTCTCACATCTGTCCTTGTGCAGAGGCTATCTGGTATCCCAGGATATGACTGTGAGAATCGTACTGAAGTGGGAGAGCTGTGTGTGTTATTCAAACTTGGTAAATCTTGCCACATGTGCCTTTGGCTTCCTGAAATCATACAAATGTTGCAGTATGCTGCAGTAAACGTCACATTTTAGCTCGTGTGCGTTTTTTTTAAACTATTAACTAATTCCAGGTATTAGTTACATTTTAGCTCCCCTGCACATAAATATAAACTTGCAGGATGTCTCTGAGCTCCTGACATGCTTCGAGGGGAGCATGGTTAGTGAGGATTCTCAGATCACATGTGGCCGGGTTAACTGGCTTTCCCTCTGGAGTTTGGTTCACCACATGGGCATGCAGGGCATGGCCTGAGCCGCCCGGCCACGCTGAGGCCCACGCTCTCCGCGGAGCTCGTGCTGTGCACCGTCTGCTCTTTAGTGGCGAGGCCTCCAGGCAATACTGACGCAATCTTAAATACAGTGGCATTTATATTGCATCTTGTAAACAGTAGTAATAGTAGGGATTTGCAGCAGTGGAATATTATTGTCTGCCACATATCAAACTAAAGTGGCTGACAGGTCAGATTGGGTGTTGAGATGTCCCTGCTTTTGATTATCGCTCTGCTCTCTTAAGCTTGTGTCTGTAACAACATGTCACAGTCCATGTCTCTGCTTTTCCATTTTAGTCTTACAACACTGGATTTTCTCATGGGACTTTCCCAGTGACCCAGTGATCTTGTCCTCCACTTCAATCACTTAAAAAAAAACAAAAAAAAAAAAAACTACGTGCATCCCTGCCTGCATGTGTCTCTCCCTTCCTGATGGGTGTATCATGCCAGAGCTCCCAGTCAATGTGTTTCTAATTACATGTTTTTACTGGAAGCCCCAGTTTCCTGTGTTGCCTCCCCATTTGTGAGTGTGGGCCAGACTGGGCTCCAACCAGCGATCACAGAGCCAAACACCAGCCACGCCCACTGCGCAGGAGTATTATTACCGTGCCGGTACAGATTTATGGCAAACCACTGTCATGTTAGGAATGACACGGACACGCTTGTCTGACCCGTGTGTTTGGCTGGTGTTTCGTAGCAACAGGTACCCTTCCCGTCTACAGACTAGAATAAAGTGGAATGTGTGTGCCATGCAGAGGAATTTTAATACGATTGGGAAGGGTGTGTTTGGGTATTCTGGGTCACCCTTTCGGCAGTGATGGACATGCCCTCAAGCCATATTTCCATGGAAGCAGACTGTGGCTCTTGAGTACCTAAAAATCCTTGACACTAAAAAACCAGCAAAGAGGTCAAATGCTTGACACAAGAGCCTCAGATGAAAACCTGCCTGCCTGAGGAAATAAAAAAAAAACACACTCACCATTCTCATAATATTCTTTCTCGCTCTGTGATTTACACGATGGTTTTAATTTAATCTCCAAACACCACTCCAGGTAAAAAAAAGTGGTGTATCACTGCAGGTAAATGGGAATTATTTCATTAGGTGGAAATTAGGAAGGGGACCATCATTAAAAACCAAACCCTCCACCGCCACCATACTCAAGATAACCCAGCACTTAAACATGAGTTCTTCCTTCCTTTTTTCCTGTGAATTGTTTACTTTGTAACACTAAAACTATTGCTTGGTTTTATAAACCAGCAAACAAGACTACCCACCAAACATTGTCATAAAGGTGACTTTAAAAAATGTTGTAGACAAACTTCCCCTTAACAGAAAGTAAATGGCCTGTATTTATATAGCGCTTTACTAGTCCCTAAGGACCCCAAAGCGCTTCACACATCCAGTCATCAACCCATTCACACACTGGTGATGGCAAGCTACATTGTAGCCACAGCCACCCTGGGGTGCACTGACAGAGGCGAGGCTGCCAGACACTGGCGCCACCGGGCCATCCGACCACCACCAGTAGGCAACGGGTGAAGTGTCTCGCCCAAGGAAACAACGACCGAGACTGTCCAAGCCGGGGCTCAAACCAGCAACCTTCCAATTACAAGGCGAACTCCCAACTCTTGAGCCACGATCGCCACGAAAGTACAAGTATAACAGTGAGAAGAAGGTGTGTAATGTCATGAGGGCTGGTAAAGCTTTCATCATGAAATTACTTTTTTCAATCAACTCTAAATGTCTTGAATGTACAGCTAGCCAACTGTAAACATTAAAATGTTCGATAGGTAAAAAGACAGTAAGAAACGCGGAAGTAGACACTGTGAGATCAAGGACTCAACTTTTTAAAGTTTTGATGTCAGTGTTTTGGCTGCCACCATGGTTGAAGCCAGAAGTTGCCTTTTATCAGTGAAAAGATGGAGTGTTAAGCTTGGTTAGCAAGCTTCATTAATAAACTTATAGGTGTAAAGCAGAGACACAATTATCTAATGCCAAGGAACAGACTAAGAACATATACAATAGAATAGAATAGAATAAAATAGAATAGAATAATCTTTTAATTGTCCCACAAATTACAAATTTGGTTGTAACAGCAGCAGAAGAAAAGAAAGAAAACAGAACAGGATAAAGAGTAGAAACACACACAAAGTTTACAGAAAAAATATTTACATCATGGACAATAGTTACAAAAACAGTACTGTACAGTTATTAAGTTTAAAGTACAGGGTTTTTTATATGAACTGAGAAAAATAATGTAAGAGTTATAACAGTAGTAGTTGTTTGGTTGATTAGTGCAAATTACAGCGCTGATGTAAACATTTATGTTTGTTGGGAGTAGTTTTGATTGTACAGTCTGACAGCTGCAGGGAGGAAGGACCTGTGGAAACGCTCCTTCATGCATCTAGGATGCAGCAGTCTGTCACATGCTAGAATACAAAACAATCTTGAGAGCTTGAAAAGAAGACATCTGGACTTCTTTAGTTTTTTGAAGACAATCACTTCTCATCCAAGAAGATTTTTCAGTTCTAGAACAACTGGTGGAGAGACGCAGGTAATTAACCCCTAATGGGGGCTGTCCCGTAACAGGCAGTCCTGATCAAGCGAGTCTTCACATGACCCAAGGTGTGAAAAAAAAGCATGGGTCATTACCATCACTGGGGCCGACAGGTGAAACCTCTGAGACATTGCTCTGCACGCCATCAGGTGAGCTATTGAGGTCAATTGAAGCAAGGTGTGAAAGGAGATTGAGACACCTGGGAAGGGATCTCAGGATTGCATTGAAGTTGGCTGGTGTCGTAAGCCACCACCTCAGTTCAACGATGGTCATTCTCAGTGGATATAGATGGCCTCCTTTACTCCTCTCTAACACTCTGTCTTCTCTGTACAAAACGTGAACATCGGCATCCTCAAAGAGAGTCCTTTCTTCCCGACTAGAAATACTCTGTTAGTAAATGTGTTAATAGGTCAGTTTTTGTTTTGCCTATTTCTACTGCACCAAACACATCACTCCATACTGGCTTGAATATTGATCTACTGTCCTGTCATTTTGCATCTGATTGTGTTTCCATCCATGAAAATCTTATTCAAAAACCAGAAGTATGGGAAGTGGCATGCCCTGGTTGTTTATGTTTTAACAGCCTCCAGGAAATGTAACCACATTTAAAGCTCTGGAGCACAATGGTGCCTTGGACACCGAGTCGTGAGAAAGACGATAACTTAACCGAATACTAAAGCAAAAAGCTGGCCAGGAAATGCTCCGTAA